GTTTTATAAAGGTTGAATTTAGTTGCGAGATATCGGCCTTTGCATCGGGTAGTGAAAATAATCTGAGTGACGTAAAGGGGAAACCAGACTTCGATCTAAAATCTATATGATTGAAATTTGGTTTTCTCCAGGCGTCACACATTTCCTGTAGCCTACATTGCGGGGTTTCTATCTGAACTATATAATATTTTCCGAAGCGTAAAAACACATTTGCTCTGCTATTTACTCAACGGTTGGATGATCCCTAAATAAATTTATTGTAAAGTTAAAGTTTACCTTAACAAGAGAGCAGACGAGGCACGCACGAAGTTGACGTGTGTTGTGAGGAACAGAAGCCATTGCGATTGTAAAATAAAATGTCATACGTACGTACGTACGTACGTACCTCTTATTGTGCTGATATTGGAATGGACTATTGAAAATAAGCCCAAAATAATTTTGAACATATGATATTAAGGCTAATTGGACCTGAAGCTAAGGCTATTGGACTTAAAGTTAGGGCTAATTAGACAAAGGCCAGAGCTAATAAAAAAAATATTGGACTTAGGGCTAGTAACAACACTGATGCTAGATGAATAACAAAAAAATATTTTTTTATTTGGTTTAAATAAATAGAATACTGAACAGTTTCGTAAGGAAGGATGTGAAAATTGTGAATCGTTTTTACAATTTAAACGCCACCCTGAAAGAGTACAAGAATGTACAAGTACAAATTTTGATGGGTACGTTGAAGTTTTCATTTTATTTATTTTTTTATTTATTATTTTTCTTTGTTCATTTCATTTAGACGAATCATTAGCTTCGATTAACATTCCATTATAAATTCCTCCTACGACTTTGGCAGTTTAATAGCTTTGATGAAACCTGATGATTCATGGGTTTCTCGATATAAAAAAATAGGTAAGCTTCTTTCGGAATTTTCACATAAACCTTTTGATAAAAACCATAGTAATAGTGCTGTTGCAACGAGATCCGAAAATATGTTGTTCTGAATTATGAATAGAATCTCGATTGATCATACATTAATTCTTTAGAAAACTACGCGTGTGGTGTATATGCAGTTGGTGTTCAAGGAAGGATCCCGGAACTAGTGGAGGATGAAATGGCTCAACGAAATATTCCGTACATACCTAGAGATGGTAGCCAAAACGTATCTCAAAATTAATAAATTCACAGCGTTATTACACGCTACATTTAATATAGATCGTTCAAAAGAATAAAAATATAATACTATAATACATTTATTATATTCATTTAACAAGGCAGGGGAGAAATAAAGAATTAATATTGTTTAACAAAATCTATATTATGTAAATGTTATAATTAGCACTTATTTGTCTGTAATATATAGTGATAGGTTTATATTCTAGCTATTTAATTCCGCATCAAAAAAAAAAAAAAATGGAAATTTTGATCAACAAAAAAAAAGAAAGCTGAATTAATATAGTGACACTTTCCATTTGGCACTGGAGTGCGACCAATCATAGGGCGTTACAAATAAACATTCACTATATGAATTATATAATGAATGTTTATTGTCATACCCAATAATTGGTCAGACCCTTGCGCCAAATGAAAGGTGTCAATTATATTAGACTTGATCTTTTTTTTTAATTAAAAAAAAAATTTAAGATACCTTGAATATTTCTAATAACAATATTAGTTTAATACTGCATCATCTCGAAATAACGCCCAGGAGCGTTATTCCGAGATGCACAATTTAAAGAGCTGAGAATTAATTTAATCTAAGATTCAAAAGGTAAAAAATTAATTTTTAGCTCTCTTAAAATTACGTACTAGAAACATTAACAAACTATATACAATATATATAATTGCTGATCCGGATACGTAAGATCGGTACAATTTCTATATTAGGGGGGAACGTCCCAAATTAGGTGGTCGGCTAAAGCGGAGTGAAGTTTAGGGTTACTGTTAACCCCTGTGGTT